AGTGACTTATGTCACATCTGGGCCAAAGCATACAAGGGCTAGCACAGAAATGTCAAGCTGTTTCTTCCTTCAGATGACAGAGCCTGATGCTCAAAATTGGCTGAATCACTGAGCTGCAACCTGAAGAACAGTTGCCATTATGAGTCACAGAAACTTTCAGTAGACTTTGAGTAAGAGAGAAATGGCAACTTAGTTAAGTAATAATAGTCAATCCTGACTAATATCACATGGCATGAAGTTTCGGTTTTATTTTCAGTCTAACAGGAAGTCATTTGAAATTTTGAGCTAGAGAGTGATGAGATCTCTTACATGTTAAAATGACCACTTCACTGTGTGTAGAATAGATTATGAGGAGGAAGGACTGGAGAAACGAGGGACCACCTATAAGCCTATTGAAGTGAAACTAGATATGAAGTAATGGTGGCTTGAAATCAGTGGTGGCAGTGAAGATGGTGAGTTGAACTCGGGATATACAGTCACACACTGCATAATGGTGTCTCGGTCAACAATGGACCACATGTAAGATGGCGTTCCCATAAAATTATAATGGAGCTGAAAAATTCCTGTAGCTTAGTAGCACCACAGCTCTCATAACGTCAGAGCATAATGCATGGCTCACATGTTTGCAGTGACGCTGAGGTGACAAATCTACTGCACTGCCAGTCGTATGCAAGTATAGCACATGTAACTACACACAGCTCGTAATACTTGAGAATGATAATAAATGTCATTACTGGCTTGTGTATTTACTATACTATACTTTCAATCATTATTTTATTTATTTGTTTATGTATTTTTTTGAGACAGAGTCTCACTCTGTTGCCCTGGCTACAGTGCGGTGGTGTCATGATAGCTCACTGCAGCCTCAAACTCCTGGGCTCAAACGATCCTCTGCCTCGGCCTCCTGAGTAGCTGGGACTCTAAGCGCCAGCCACCATGCCTAGCTAAGCTTTCTAGTTTTTGTAGTGATGGGATCTCGCTGGTGTCCAGGCTGGTCTAGAACTCCTGACCTCAAGTGATCTTCCCGTCTTGGCCTCTGAGAGTGCTAGGATTATGCTAGGATTACAGGCATGAGCCACTGTGCCCAGCCTTTATCATTATTTTACAGTGCACTCCTTCTTCTTTAAGCCGCATTTGGGTGAGGCAAAGACATAAAGTGTAACCCTAATGTTTGTACCCTCACAATACCCTGAAATAAAAAAAAAAAAAAAGTTAACTGTAAAACAGCTTCACGGAGGACCTTCAGGAGGTATTGTAGAAGAAGGCATTGTTGTCATAGAGGATGACAGCTCCATGTATGTTACTGCCCTGAAAACCTTCCAGCTGGACAAGACGTGGAAGTGGAAGACAGTGTTATTGATGATCCTGACCCTGTGTAAGTCTAGGAATGTGTGTGTTTGTGTCTTAGTTTTTAATGAAAAAAGTTTAAAAAGTAAAAAATAAAAATAAAAATTTTAAAAATAGGAAAAAGCTTATAGAATAAGGATATAAAGAAATACCTTTGTACAGTTGTGCAATGTATTTGAGTTTTAAGCTAAGTATTATTACAAAAGTCAAAAAGTTGAAAAAGTTTATAAAGTAAAAGAAGTACAGTAAGCTAAGGTTGATTTATCACTGAAGAAAGAAAAAAACTTTTTTCATAAATTCAGTGTAGCCTAAGTGTATGGTGTTTATAAAGTCTACAGCAGTGTACAGTAATGTCCGAGGCCTGCACATTCATTTACCACTTACTGATTCACCCAGAGCAACTTTCAGTAAGTGCACTATATAGGTGTATCATTTTGTATCTTTTATATCATATTTTTTAATCATACCTTTTCTATGTTTAGAGATACATATACTTACCACTGTGTTACAAGTGCCTACAGTATTCAGTATAGTTACATGCTATACAGATTCGTAGCCTAGGAGCAATAGGTATGTGGTAGGCTATGCCATCTAGGATTGCATAAGTGCACTCTATGATGTTCACACAATGACAAAATTGCCTAATGACATGTTTCTCAGAACATCATTAAGCAGTCCATGATTGTGTTTTGTTCTTGATCTTAGCAAAAAGGCCAAGAAACGATTACATTACTGTTATTTTGAAGATAAATCTAACAGGACTGATATTAATAGAAAGACTTCCAAGGTTTTGGGCCTGAGCAACTGAGTATAGAAGAGGACAGGGAGAGCAAAAGGTAAGGCAAATCGAGTGGGATTCAAAAATTATGTTTTGATTTCAAGATCTCTTTCAGAAAAAGGAGAGAGAGGGAGAAACAGAGAGACAGAGAGAATATTCCCAACTCATTTTACAAAGCCAGCATAACCTTGATACCCAAACCTGACAATGATATTACAAGATACATAGATGCAAAAATCCTAAACAAAATATTTTCAAACCAAGTCCAGAAATACATAAAAAGGGGAATTCATCATAATACAGTTGTGTTTCTTCCAGGAATAAGTTGGGTTTGTTCCAGGAATGCAAGGTTGTTTTAACATTCACTCTCTATTACTGTAATTCACAACATTAATAGAATAAAGGAGAAAAATCATTTCAATAAATATAGAAAAATCATTCATTAAAATTAGAAATAGAAGAGAATTTCTTTAATCTGACAGGAGTATTATAAAAACCTACAGCACACATCATATTAGTGGTAAAATATTGAAAACATTTTCTTTCAGGTCAGGTATGGAAGAAGGATATCTTCTATCTCCCCTTCTATTCCATACTGAAGGTCCTACCCAGTGCCATGAGGCACCAAAAGAAGAAGAAGGAAGAGAGGGAGGAGGAGGAGGAAGTGGAGCAGGAAGGCACAGGTCAGAAATAAAGAAATGAAACTGTCATTATTTACAGATGACATAACTGTATCTAAGGAAAATCCTGAAGACTCTATGGATTAATGATTAGAAATGATAAATGAATTTATCAAGATCATTTGATAGAAGTTTAAGATACAAAAATCAATTGTATTTATATGTAGCAGCAATAAGCAATTAGAAAGTAAAAAAAATTAAATGATAGCATTTACAATCACATGAAATTCATCAAATGCCTAGAAATAAATCTTAAAAAACCCTGCAAGGACATGACATGTACATGTAAAACTACAAAACACTATTGAGAGAAAATAAAGAATACCAAAACAATTGAAGTGCTAAACCATGTTCATGGATTGAAAAATCAATATTACAAAGATAGCAATTCTTTACCAACTTGATCCACAGTGTGAATGCAATTCTAATAAAAATCCCAGCAGGGTTTTCTTCTTTGTCAAAATTGACAAGCTGATTCTATACTTTTTATGGCAATACAAAGGGAAAGGCCAAGAATAACCAAGATTTGAAGAACAAAGTTTGAAGAGTACCAGATAGCAAAACTTATTATAAAGCTATAATAATTACAACTAGGTGGTATCGTCGAAGGATAGAAAAATAGACCACTAGAACAGAAAGAAAATCCAAAAATAGAACTACAGATATAGGAACATTTTGATTTATGACAAGGGAGACAATGAACACTAGTGGGGATAAGACAATCGTCTCAATAGGCAGTGCTCAGTCAATGGGACATCCATGTGGAAAATAATGAATCTTGACCTTTCATACCACACACAAAAACCAAATCCAGGTTGATTGTAGGTCTAATTGTGAAATGTAAAACAATAAAATATCTAAGAAGGTAACATAGGAGAATATCTTCAAGGGAGGAAAAGATTTCTTAAATATGACACAGAAAGCACTAATCATAGCGAAAAAGACTGATAAACTATTACACTGAAATTAAGAAGTTATGTTCATTAAAAGACACCATTTAGAGAAAAAAAGGTAAGCAAAGTAGGATATATTTGAATATATACATATGTGTGTATATATAACCAATAAAGCACTTTAAACCTGAATATGTAAAGAATTCCTTTAAGTCAATAAGAAAAAGCACACAAACAAATAGAGAAATGGACAAAAATCTAGAAGAGACACTTCACAATAGAACATATCCATATGCCCCCCCCCCAAAAAAGGTATTCAACCTTATTATTTATCAGGGTCAGGAAAATAAAAATTAAAATAACAATAATATGCTGCTGCATATACCCAAATGGCTAAAATGGGAAAAAAAATGTCAACCATTGGGGAGGATGAGAAGCAACTGAAACTCTTACTCATTGCTAGTAGGAATGTAAATTAATACGATCACTTAGGAAAACTGTTTGGCAGTATTACTATAGCTCAATATATGTATATAAACCAAAGTCTGAGTAATTCCACTCCTAGGTACATACCCAAGAAATGTATACATATGTATACCAAAAGATATGTATAAGAATGTTCATAGCAATACTATTTGTAATTGCCCCAAGCTAGAAACTATCCAAATCCAAATGCCCATCAATAGTAGAATGGATAAATAGTGACGTATTCATACAACAGAGCACACAGCAACAAAAATGAAGAAACTATTGAGAGAGATCTCCAGCTGTTCCTGCCCTCAGCTGTTTGAGCCTTCTCAGATTAGGTCCTAAATAGATGAATAAAGGAAGCTCTGAGATGATTCTAGCCCCAGTGGCTGACTGCAACAGAATGAAAAACCCTGAGTAAGACCACCTGAGCCCCGTCAAGACCCATATTCATGACCAAAATAATTATGACTAGTTTATGTCATTGTTTTAGGCATGGGTATTACATAGCAATAAATAACTGGAATATATGTTGAAATATTTAGGAAAAAAGAAAGAAAATAAAATATATGAAATTTATAAATCCACTTTTAAATGTTTAAGGAAACCTAATTAAGTTTGTACAAATCTTTTTAAAAACTATTGTTTAATACTAGGTTTGTCAATAGAATAAGAGATTTGTAAGTTGAACTTAAAAGCCTAAGGGAAAATTAAGTTTTTAAATTTAGACTTCCATAAATTGAATCTCAATTGAAAAATAAAAAATAATTACCAATGGAAATTTCTTGGATATCTGACTCCATTGACCCTTTCAGATAATTCAAAGAAACAACATAGGGAAAGGAACTGAGTGATTTATTGAGTGCTTTACTAGGTGCCACGTCATGTCCTAGGTGCTTTACCTAAATCAACTCATTTGATCCTCACAACAACCCTGTGAGGTGGGTTTTATAATCCCCGCTTTACAGATGAGGCTCAGAGAGGTAATGGAACTTGCTCAAGATTCTGCAGCTAATAAACGATGGAATCTGTACTTTTGCACTTTGGGATGCCTTCTTCTGGAGCGAAGACTTGTGGCAGTGACTTTCTCAAGGCCACTCAGGGGCCTCAGTGTAGCTACGGAGCTGACACCTTCCGTGTCCACTCCCACCTGGCTGTGAGCCTTCCAGTGGCTAAGAAGAGGGGTGTGCCTGCCAGTGGTGCCCTGCTAACGTGGAAGAGTGCCGCGCCGGCCAGAGAGAAAGGGATAGTCCAGTGATCCTTAAAGTTCAGGAGTGTGGATTGGAGCCAGAGGGGCCTGTCCCCTGGACATAACTTGAGAGTAGCTCTGGAGAGGAGTTCTAGAAGCTGTGGAAAGAAAAAGAGGGAGGATTTCAGCACTATGGCTCCAGATAGCTTGCCTAACTTCACAGGGTTCTTTTCAGTGTTTTCTTTTCCTCTACAATGTCTTACATGGTCAGGGCAGTTGTACCTTTGGATCATTTCATTCTAGAATATTGGGGCGAGTCAACTTTGAAGTTATCTAGTCCAATCCTCTCATGTTATAGGCGAGGAGACCAACGGATCAACTTTTGTTTCTTCCTATGAACAATCTATAGAACTCTACTTATCTAACCCTATTGCATGAGTTTAAAAAAAAAATCAAAACCCTATATTGAAAATGATAAGTTTTTTGAGATTCTTGACTTTTATTTTTACAAAAAGAGGGGTAGGAAAATGAGGCCTGTGAAACAGAAATAGAAGAATGCCCTGGGAACAGTGGGGGTACCCCAAGGCTGCTGTGATCCAGAGGGCAGGGAGGGGACTACTGCCTCTAGCCTACCTGACTGACACATGAAATCCGTGGCAGGCAGAGGTGGCACCACCACCTAGACTCCCGCTCTGGCCACGCCCCTTTCAAGAGTACGTTTTCTGCCCCAGAAATCTTTCCAGTGGGTCTGTGAGAAAAGCACTATTTACCAGCACTTAGAGCTACCAAAGCAGCTACAGCCACTTCTGAGGGAAGGAGCCTGATTACAGAGTGACTGCACTCTGTCTCCGCCTGAACAAATAAGGGAAAAAAGACTGGGTGCCCCCCTCAGTTATTCAGGGGCTAAGGCGCTAGCACGTGTTTTCTTTAGGCCTCTATCTTTTTTTATTCCTTTTGTTGTCAGGGGATTCTGCCAGCTGCTACCTTCCCTGAAAAGCCAAACTGGGGGAAATAGGGAAAATCACCTTTCTCTGTGCGGGATGAATTGGGGGAGAGGGAGGGAGAGAGAGATACAGCTAAACAATTGTACACACAACAGTCATTAAACGTGTTACACATTTAACTAGTGCTTTATAATTTACAAACTGCCTTTACATACTTTATCTCAATTACTCCTCACAGCAACCTGGTAAGGTAGACAGAGACGTATCAGTCCTGTTCTGCAGATGAGGAATCTGCTCTTGTTGGTAGTTAAGTGGCAGGACTAGAGTCCAGATCTTAGAACCACAGAATCAGAGAGTTGGAGGTACCTTAATAGAAATAATCTAAGGCATCCTTTTCCCAGAGCCTGAATCACCTTTAAAAATCTCTGAGATTTCTTCAGGTCCCAGCTTGAACTGTTCCAATGACGAGTAACTCACTACCCCATGAGTAATCCATTATTAATACTAAGCTAAAATCCTTCTCTTTATAACTTTCAGACTTTAATTCAATTTCTTTCCACAAGAACCACACCACATTAAGTCAAATTCTAATTCCCATTGTTTTTAAAATTTGAAGATATTACCATTTGCCCTTTTCTTGCAGATTAAACATCTTTAATTCTTTCAGCTATTTATCATGTGATTACCTAGCTCAGTGCCTGAAATATATACTAGATAGTTAGTAAATGTTTGCTGAATTGGTTCTCTGGCCCTTGGTACTGAGTTCTAGTCCTGGGATCCTTCCCTGATCACAAGTGGTCTCCATATTGTAATCTATCATTTTTTAATTTAAATAATAGAGAGAAAAGAAACAATATATAGTTTTTACTTTCCAAACCACAATTTTCAGAACAATGTGAAAACAAAATAAAAATTGGCCAAATTTCGACATCTTTCAATTTAGTCTGTGATAATGGATTCATTATCTAACCCAACGGACCACCTCAGAGATACATTTCTAAAAGACATTGTTCATTGAGAATCTCCTACAAGTAAGACATAGAATGGGACACCATAGAGATTACCCATAGAATTAAACTGAAAAATTCTAGTGAAGGCAGGAGAATGTGGGGTCTGGTGGGAAGACCCAGCACGAATCCATGATCCCGAGGCACTGCTTTGCCTGTTAAAAGAAGCAGAACCCACTTTCAGTTCAATTTTGGGGACTATCACACTAAAAAATGTACTGTCTTCCAAAAAGAGCTCCAGAGGAGGCTCTATTTTTAGCTGGTCTTAAATTGGACTGTGTGAGAGACAAGTACTGGTGTCAATGTGAGGAAGCTGCGTCATTCCTAACGATGCAGAATTCAGCCAACTTCACGCCTCTTGTGTAAGTGCCGTGCCGGGACAAATAGCAATGAGCTTAAAATTTCAGTAACTAAAGAGCCAGGAAATAGATGGTGAATTGTGTCGTACTTCATGAAGGAATGATAGTAAATTGCTACCAATCACAAGGGAATATGCTTATTCATTACAGTAATAACCTTATAAGGAGTCTGATGGTAAATAAGTCAGACCAAACATCTAAAAACGCAATTCCAGAAAAAGATCTCAGGTTAAATTATTCCATTATCACAGACTAAATTGAAAACCATCTGAAATTTAGCCAATTTGATCATGTTTTCAAGTTGTTCTGAAAATTCTATGGTTTGAAAAGTAAACATATTTTTTCTTTCTTTCTATTACTTTAACAAACATCGAAAACCTGCTCTCTTTATATTACAAATGCCAATATTTTAGAAAGTGAGTTACATTAGCAGTTATCTCATCTTGAGTTTCAGAAAAGGCTGAATTTGGAAAGAGGCATTTTATATGATAGTATTAAGGGTTGAGGACTTGGAGACTGAGTTGTGAGCTCCTTTCACTTAAAATGTCTGCACTGTAATCACGTGGTAGGTGATAGATTATTCACAGGTACAAATGGAGGGGAGCTTCTAGTCAAGGAGGACCCACCACCATGAGGGAGGACAGTCCCAAGTCACCAGAGAAATCATAGTGAAATATAGCAGAAAGTTCTTGCTGAAAGGCACTCAGATATCCCAGGACTTGTGTCCATTATACTGCTAACTAACTGCTTCTCTTTTTCTCCTCTGAAAAACTCATCCTTTGTCTTCTCACATCAATCCAAGAGGGCTTTTGGGGACAGCTGGTTCAACAAACTCAAACAAAGAAAGCAAGGTTCAGTGAGGTTGTATCGTTTGCAAAAAGTTACATATTTGATTAGTAATAGAGCCAGACATGGAAGCCAGGACTTTGGGCTACCAGTCCTGGTCTCCTTCTTATTTACCATGCTGCCTGCCTCCCAACATTTGGAAAACATTCCTAAAGTTTTCACACCTTCAATTGAATGAGAAAGGGACTGACCTCGGAAGAGTTAGGATTAAAAACTAATAAGATGGGGGTACAGGGTGGTTTAGGATAAAGCAATAAAGCAAGGCAGGAGAGTGGGGGGTGGGGAAGAGAAGGTAATAGGAGAGATAATATATGAACAATAAAATGGGAGACAGCACAAAGGACAAATGGAGAAGGAGAAATGAACTGAGAAGAAGAAGAAAAGGGACACTCAAGAGCAGCAAACTGAGGCAACCAAGGATGGAGCAGAAGTTAGAAAGAGAGAAGAAAGAAGAGAAAACTAGAACCAAGAAAAGAGAATAAAATCAGAAAGAACAACACGAGAAAACAGAGATCCGCTGTGAGTTGAGAAGGAGTGTACCGTGGGTGGGCATGCTGGACAAAGACAGGGACCCACAGGCTGTAACTGTATGCCTACACGGGCGTCAATGCGCAGGAAGTGAATGGCAGCACGATGGGAAAGGGTGATGACGGTGGCCAGTGCACACGGAGGAAGTCAACAGAGGGATCCTGCGTGTTAGATAGAACCGACTCAACTACGGGCCCAAGGGCACTAGTACCACAGATTATAAATTCCTATCTATAAAATCTCATCATTCACCTCTCTTGCCTCTTTCCTCGTTTATGTCAGTTGTTTTTCAAAATATACAAACATTCACGCATTCATTTCGTGTACCCTGGAGGCCTTTCTCATGGGGCTAGTTTCTCAGGAAATTTTTTGGTGCTTCCCAAAGAATGGTGGGTCTCTTAGGGACCCTTCACCTGGAAATGCCTTCCAAATTGGGAACAATGGGATTTTCCCCAGGGAACGCCAGGCCTCCATCATGCTTGGGTGGAGTTCCAGAGGAAAATGTCACAGCATTGTGACAACAGCCAGGGGAACATGAAAGCAATTTCCCAGCACTGCTGAGTACAGCGTTTTTTGTCCACTCTCCAGTAAGGGAAATCCTGCACGCACTGTGAGGCCCTCCCAGATTCATACCCATCCTGCCTCCCACAGGCGTGGACTGCTGGGGAAAGCCAGGCTGCCTGTACATATCTGATCACAGTGACATTTCATCAGAGCAGTTTCCAGTCCTCTGCCTAAGTGATCAACAAACACATTCTCCACCTGGCAAAAGGAAAGCAAGATGGGGACGTTTTCCTCCCAGAGCTATTAGCCTGTAATCACAAGCCTCTCTAAAAAATGTCATTTCAGCAGAGCTACCTGTCCAGTTCAGCCTAAATAACAACTGCTTTCCAGAACTGACCCTATGCTGAGAAGACAATCAATGGGAAATAGAACCTTGCCAGCATTCTTTTTCCTTTAGAATGCAGGCCACAAATAAAATCCCCTTTAGCTCCAGCTGTGGCCTTAGCTATTAGCACAAACTTGCAAAAACATTTAGCAGCAACCTACCTGCCTGCTCAAAATGTCAATCAGTCCACTTTCCAAAATGCAATTACAGTTAATAATCAATGAGTTTTAAAAATTATTCATGCCTTGCATGCACCTGGAGTGAGCGGCTATCTGCAAGGTTGGGTTAATGCCACTTTCTAGGAGTCCTCTGAGAGGTAATGCTCCATAAAACAGTTGTTTGCCCTGACAAGCTGGGGTAAGGCTGGCTATTGGCAGGAATGCGTGGCAGCTTCCTTCTGAGTACTTACATAGAATCCTGGGCTGGTGACTGTGCCCATGTTAGTTCTCCCCTCACCTCATGTACTCCCCATCACTCCTATAATCCATAAACGACTCTGATCCCGACACCTCCTCAAAATCCTCCAGCACCAGACTGGTGGAGTCCTCACCCAGGATGCCGCTGTCAGGCCTGGACATCCTGGCTCGGGAAGGAGGTGCACATGGGCTGGTGGCAGCTGGAGGGGGAGAGGGGAGGGAGGGTTGCTGGACAGATGTGGCCATGGCCTGAGGCGGGGACACGGCCGGCTCATGGACTTCCTCATCATCCTTCTCAGACTCTGTCACTGCATCTGGGGCAGTGGGACCCAGGATGTGGTAGAGGCTGGGGAGGCGGATGTCAAAGCGCAGCCCAAACTTAGCAAAGAGCTTCTCGTTGAGAGTGTAGAGCTTCTCTGAGATGTCATAGCCCAGCAGAGCTGAGAAGAGGCAGGAGATGTATCGCTCTTTGGTCAGAAGAAGATGGAGACTTTTTCGGGGCCAGGAAATGTAGCTACATGAGGTCTCAGCAGTCAGAGTAACCTGAGGGGGTGAGAAGCAGAGAAGGAAGGTTTAAATTAGAAAATCTGTCCATGCTGAGCACAGAGAAGCAAACAATCACAGGCAAATGTCTGTACTTTTATAGAAGAAGCTGCGTGGGACTAAACGCCCCATGGCCTTGCCATGTCGGGTGAATGACTTTTACTTGTGTGCACTGATCTGGGGGAATGTCCTGTGTCAGGAGCCCTGGGATCAGCCATTCACTCACTCAGCTGTCGCCTCCTGGAGCCTCAGTTTCCACACCTAGTTTCCTCAGCTCTAATTCTATGGCTCTTAAGTCTGATATCACTAATGGCTGCAAAAGGTTCTGAGACTTGTGATTTTGAGACAGAGAAAGAAGGGGTCTTCTAGTGCTCTGAAGAGAGGTTGAAATGCTGATGACTATTCCTTGTAAGAATGAAGAAGGATAATGTATTTGGGTAGGGACACAAAAAGAGCTGGAAAGAAGTTTAGTTAGAGAAAAAGCTTCTGATGAGGTATGCTAAGCTGCATCATGTGGACAGAGCACAGGTCCGTGGTTGCTTTTTACTGGGCCACTACGAGTAACCAAAAGGATCTGATGACTAAAGTCGGAAAAAGGGAACAGAGGGAGACAAATTCTTAAGAGCAGAAAGTCAAAGGGCACCTCATTCTCCATTTATTTATTGATCTAGGAATTTCTGAGGACTCACTACGTGCTTGTAATGCAAAGCTAAATTATACTTGCTGGGGAAATAAACAATAATGTGTGCTGCATGCAGTGAGTGCCTTGTTAAAATAGGGATGAACGGTAAAGCTAGGGTTGAAATGGAAACATGCTTAGGATAGTACAGGAAAAGAGTATAGAATCACACAGTTTTTTATAATCTGATTGACCATAATATTTTGGGCTGGCAAGGCTCATGATGAGCATTTGTGGATGGAGACAGTGGAAATGATGATAGTGATGGTGATGATGATGATGATGATAGCAGCTGACACTTATCGAGAGGTGACGATGTGCCAGATATTGTGTTAAGTACTTTATATTGATTATTAGATTAAAGGTAGGGTTGACTTTCCAAGCATTCTTCGTTAGAGATTATATATACTCCTTTTAATTCCTGCATTGCCTACCAGATCTCCCAGTACCCTCCTCTCCTCTTCCTTCCTCTCTGCTGTACCCCTCCTCCACTTCTTTCATTTCCTCCTCTCAGCTTTTCCCCACTAATTGTTAGCATTGCAACCGGGATCCTAAATTACATTATCAAGGCCAAAAGTTTCAAGTTTCAAGTTTCAATTTCAAGTTGCAAGTTTCAGTTTTCCCTCTTTACCAGCTGTGTGACATCAGATAAATTACTTAATCTGAGCATATTGCCTCAGGAGAAAGAATTCTGAAAGTAATGCGATCTGTCCTTACTTACAGTACATCAAGTATAATCGTTGTCACAATCTGCCATAGCCTGTACCTTAGATGTACTCATTAACAATTCCAAACAAGAAATCAGAGTACCAAACATGAAGCTGGCGTGTCGAGCAGGAGCTAATCTGGATATAAACAATGTCCTTAAAGCCAAACACAAAGATGGTGAGCATTCTTATGAACATGCTGTTACTTCTTCCCTCTTCAAATAAAACAAAATTTAAAAAACAAAAATTCTTCTTCACCTCACTTCCCTGGCTAGCCACCACTCTATTAATTTGCTCCCCTTTTTAGCAAAACTCCGTGAAAAAAATCGTCTATACTTACTGCCTCCAATTCCTCTCTTTTCACTCTTCTAAACCAATAAGGCTTTGTCTTTAGTAGTCCATAAATGCTGCTCCTGTTAAGGCCACCAGTGACCTCTAAGTTGTTGGTCTTGGGCCAGTGTTCACGGCACGCTACCCTGTCCATTGCCCCCTCCCCTTCAATATACCTTCTCCACTTGGTTCCCAGGATGCCATGCACTCCCGGTGCAATCTCCTGATTGTTCCTTTCAGGCTCCTTTGCTGCTTTCTCTTTTTCTCTCCAATTTCTTAATACTACAGTGTCCCAGCGTTCCATTCTTGAACCCCTTCTCTGTCCACACTCACTCACTTGGTGATCTTATCCAATCCAATGGCTTTCAATATCATCTGTATGTGACCAACTCTCAAATTTATGTCTCAAGCCCAGACCTCATTCCTGAATTCCAGACTCAAATATCCAACTGCCTATGCAGCATCTCCATTTAAATGTCCACAGATGACGCAGACCTAACATATCCCAAACGGAGCTTCCTATTCTCCCCAGACCAGCTCTGTCTGCAGCCCTCTTTATCTCAGTTGATAGCAACTTCATCCTTCCAGTTGCTTAAGTCAAAAGCCTTAGAATCTTCCTTGATCCTCTCTTTCTCTCACATACTACATCCAACCCATCAGGAAATCTTTTTGGCTCTATCTAGATAATATATGCTCTGGCCTATATGACCTGGCTCGCTGCCACCTCTCCAAATTCCTCTTCTGCTATTCTCTCCCCTTCCTCTCTCTGTTCCAGGCCCGCTGTCCTTTCTGTACCTCAAATACGCTAGCCCCACCTCAGGGCCTTTGCACTAGCCCTTTCCTCTGTCTGATCTGCTCTCCCCCAGATATTCACAGAGTTTACACTGTCACTTCTCTCAGGTTTTTGCTCAAATGCCATCTACTCAACAAGGACTTCCATGACCACCCTATTAAAAATTGCAACCATATCTCCTTATGCTACTCTATGTTGTTGTTTTTTTTAACTAGCAGTTATTATTCTCTAACATATTGCACACTTTACTTATTCATTATGCCTATGGTTCATTTTTTGTCTACCGTACTAGAATGTAAATTGCATGAGGGCAGGGACCTTTATCTTCCCTGTTCACTAATATATTCCAAGCACCTTTAATAGTGCCTGGTGTATAATAAGTGCTCAATAAATACTACTGAAATGAATGAATGAGTCAAGTGAAGACCACCAATCTTGTATACTGCAAAATAACCTAATGTCAATTTCTCATGTCCTGTATAAAATCCTTCCCCAAAGGTATTCTGGAAATTTGCTTCTTGATTGGTTCACACACACACACACACACACACACACACACACACACACACACACGTCTTTTATAAAGTTTTATCAAGTATTTAGCTTTATCTTTAATACTCACTTCAGAGGTTGGTTGAATAGATTAAATGAAATAACATATGTAAGTAGGATTTAGATCCAGTAAGCCAGGATGCAAATTAGAGAAATAATGATGATCTCTAATGTGTGATCTCTCCTGTGCTGTATTCTTGGTAATTAATGAGTGTCACAATGCTGAGCAGTCAATAAATTCTGATTTAATTGAATTGTTGAGAGGTGTGATGGAATTTGATTGATTTGTGTTAAACACAATGTGAATTATGATTTAGGCAGGCACTGTGGATTGCTCTCTCAATCAACAAAGACTATGTAATCGCAAAAGGCAAGGACAGGATGAACTATAACGCGGGATAACACTCGACATTTGCAAAGAGGAAATGGGACTTTACACAGCCAATAGCAAACATGCAAAGGAGGTGCACACTAAAAATATAAACGAGAGCAATATGACCAAACCTGCATTCCAGGCTGAGAGGCCATCTGGGGTTACAGCCCTTCCCTTCGAGCATAACTTGGGGGAGGACACCCGGCTTACCCACCACCTGTTCCTCCGTGTCAGTGTCAGAAATAGAGCCCTGGCCCAGCTGGCTCAGGACCTGACTCAGCCCTCCTGGAGGTCCTCATGGCCCTGAGGGAGCTCCTGAAGGAGATTTCTGAGCCAGGTAGAGAGTGCGCATGGGGGTGGGGGTTAGGAACATGACCTAAGGGGGTCTGCAGCTGGTGACCCTGGCAGTGGGATCAGGACTTCTTCCCAGGCTCCATCATCACAGAGCCAAGTGTCAGGGTGGGGGCGGAAGGAGGCCCAGCCAGGTGGCACTGCCTGGCATGTGCCTGTTCCGGGGCTGGCTCATATGTTGGCTTGAGGGACTCCCTGACAGAAGTAGTAGGAGACATGTAGATCCCAGTTCAAGCAAACTCTCTGGACACGGGAGTCCCTATAAGGGTGGGTGAGAGTGAGGAGAGTGAGTGAGAGAGAGAAAGAGTATGTGTGTGTGGGGGTGTGGGTGTGGGTGTGTGTGTAAACTCCACTCTTCTGGTGGCCCTCCCATTTTAATAAAGAATAGAAATACTAGATCCAGGCAACTTGGTTTTGCCACTTTCTAACTGAAGACCTTGGGCAAATTACTTGATGCTTTGGGACCTTAGTTTCTTCGTCTGTTAAATGGAGTAATAATAATATCCAACCCATAGAGTTGTTGTGAGAATCAATGAGGCAATATAACACGTAGCGCCTGCCACATGCTAGCCATTCAATAAATGAGAACTACAAAGAAAGTAATCGAAGCCTGAAGCATTGGCAGGAAAGAGAGTAGGGACCAAGCTGCCAGGCTCCCCCCTTGGAGTGTGTATGTGAATGCACTAAAAAGTCCTCTGAGACACCACCTGCTCAATGGCAAGCCGGTTCAGCAAATCTTTACTGAACACCTACTGTGTTCCAGGTACTATCCTTTGGAGCCTAGTGATAGAGAGAGGGAAAAGCACAGATTTTTACTTCAAAGATTCACTGTGCAGAAGACAGAAAGGAAAACAGATCGTTAGAACAGAGAGCAGTACATGCACCAGTCAGCATAAGCAAAAGGAATAGAACAGGCACACAGGCAGGGGCACTAAGCAGTGGGGTGGAAGTTGGTGAGGTTGAGCTGGGCAGGCTTCACAGAGGAAATGAGGTGCCATGGTCTCATCTAGAAGGGAAATGCATTTCAGATAGAAGGGATAGAAGGCACCAAGGCATGGAGTTGCAAAACAGTGTGGTGTGTTTAGGGAAGTACAAGTGGTTCAGCACGGCTAGTATGGGCAAAAAGATGACGGAGGGAGAGACGAGGACTGGAGATCACCGAAGGGCTGAAGTTACCCACTAAGGAGTGTGGGTTTTTATCTGGTGGTCACTAGGCTCTTCTGGAAGGGTTTTAGACACAGCCCACCCATCGGGGTCAGCACCTCCTTATCCCACCCGCCTGCGCCAGGGCCCAGGCACCCTTTCCACAGGGGAAGACTGCTCCTTCCTCTAGCATCATATTGGCAGTGGTGCAAAGGACAGACATGAGAGGGGAAAGACGGAGGTACGGACGTTGCTGGCTTGCAGTGGGGCGGGGTGAGGCAGTGCTGCCATGGGGCTCCCTATTACCTGGAACACCCCCTCCTCAGAGGGCTGCAGCGATTCCCATTCGGGAGAGTCCATGAACTGGTATGGAAAGATGTAGTGCAGAAACTGCCCGTCCTGGCTCACACGAACCCTGGCAAAGGGAGAGAAGAGACCATGTGGGAAAAGGAAAATGGCTGCCCAACTCCTCTTTGCTGCAGTTACGCGTTGCTGATTAACATCAATCTTCCAGCAGAAATACCTTGCCTAAAGCACGGTAAACCCAAAGCAAGAGTACCCTGATTACTGCTTGGAAACAGTTTAGAAAGGGAACCCATCGAGACTTCCCGATCCCTCATTTTCCTCCTTCTCCTTACCAGTGGTTCTCAATTCCAGGCTGCTGAGTAGAAGCCCCAAGGGGAGCTTTAAAGAAACACCTTATCCCAGAGCAACTAAACAAGAGTCTCTGTAGGTGGGATGTGGATATTATTAGTTTTAAAATCTCCCCAGTGATTCTAATGTGTAGCCAGGATGCAAACCACTGCTCCAGAGCTCTGCTATACACTAGCCACAAGTGGCTATTTAAATTTACATTTACATTAATTAAAATTAAAAATTCAGTTCCTCAATTACACTAATCACATTTTATGTGCTTAATAGCCACACGTGGCCTGTGGCTACCATATTGTACAACATAGGCATAGAACGTTTCCGTCATAACAGAAAGTTCTCCTGGACAGCGCTGCTCTGGAGGTTCAGCCTGGGGCAACTTCTCCTTTCCTCCTTCCCAGTAGGCTGCAGAACAGCCATGCTTTCTACCTCGTGTGCTTACATTGTAACCACTTTTCAGACTTTGAAGAAAGTGGCAAGTCTAATGCATGCCAGACTCTGTGCTAGAGACACTTTACAAGTGTTCTTTTATCTAATCCTCACAATACTGCAAGGTGGATTATTTTTGTCTGTATCTTACAGCTAAGGAAACTGAAGCTCAGAAAGGTTGATCAGTGAGCTTAAGGTGACATAGCGGTTAAGTGGCAGAACTGAGATTCTATGTCCTCACCACAATACCATGTTGCCACCCTATCAGCATTGTCCCTTCCCTACCTTCTCAAACCATAAGGTGACAATAACAGCTTCTGTCTTTAGACAATGAGATCCCATGCACCCTGTCTAGTTGATGGTCCTGGGGTGAAAACCTAACCCAAGCTCATCCAATCAAATTCCTTCCCTGGGAATTTGGAACTGGAATTGAGTGAGGGTGACTCATGTCTTGCATAGAGACAACTATCAGGCATTGGCAAAACTAACACACTCTCCTGTTAAGGAACTAAAACCTTGTTTTTTTTAATCACATAACTCAGACTTTGAAAAAGTGTATACCCCAAAGGGCCACAGAGAAAAGAAATTTGAAATCATAAAATGCCCTACTAGAATATGTTCTTGTTTCTAGTCCTACCTGAGGCTCAAGTGCATGGCTTTCCCTGAGTTTAGTGAGAAATCCTTGTATCTTTTAAAATAAAGACGCCTTTTTCTCCTTCAGCTAGCTAGAGTGGGTTTCTGTGGTTGCAGCCGGAAAACCTAATTCATCTATTTGTTTTAATTTTATGAATATTCTTATTCCACACTACCAACAGGTTAAACAACTGCTCTTGACTTGCCCATGACCACAGCTCAGGGCTAGAAATGCCCCAAATACTGCTCACTGTCTTTACATCCTTGTCGCTGGCACATAGCCTGATGCTTTGCCCCTGCAGGGTAGGGGGATTGCATTCTGTGAGAACTTGTTAGAATTGACGGCATGTCACTGATTATGCCTGGGGGCAGTGAGTGTATTTCAGACATGATGCTGTATCTGGGAAAAGGGTAGAATCTAGTATGGGCTTTATCTTTTCCCCAGAAAATTCAGTTTCATCTTCCACCTCTCTTCTAAAGTGAGTTCTATCAGGCAAAGGGGTGCCTCTATCAGGAAAAGGGGGAAGATAAAAAACATCTCTAAGGTACAACTTGTCCATTTGGAGAGAGCTATGCTTCCCTTACTTTTGGACTTTATTGGCTAAACAAGTATTCATGGACCACCTTCTGTGTTCCTGGAGGTCTGGGAATGCAGAGATGGGTACAAGCTGGTGCTTGCCTTTGAGAATTTCACAATTTACTGGAAATCACAGGCATGTAAATAACTGGCTTCAAGTCAACGTGGTAAGTGCTGTTATAGAACAAAAGCATAGAGGAGGGGGAGAAATTGTTTCTCTTTCAGTGGCAGACTTCTCAGAGATGACATTTAAGCTGAGTTTTGAAGGATGAAAAGGATATCAAGAAGCAGATATGGATGGGAATGGACAAAGATCTGGGAAATCCAGTGTGGCAGTGTGTTTGCCAATATCTGTTTTTTTCTCTTCCTCCATGGTACTAGAGTTTTAACTGGACACATGGCTGCACAGCTAAAGTCTACGTTTCCCTATTTCCTTTGCTGCTAGGTATGGCCATGTGATTAAGTTCTGGACCATGGGATATTAGCACTCCTGAGTCTTGCTCTTCATAAATGCACACATATTTGTATACAAATTACCAAAGACCATCACCAATTAATAAGCTATTGACTATTATCTGATAACCTAAAGCTAGAAGACAGAAGGAGATGCAGGTTTCAAACCAAGCTAAAGATGGAGTTGGCCCGTAGCTTCTGATGGCAGAAACACACTTGCTCCTACAAGACCAGGTGATATATATGGACTGCCTGGCAGAACTTCCATGAGTAACGAAAGGATACATGAGAAAATGAAATGCCATTTCTCCTACATCAGGGTCTTTACATATTCTAGCTCTAGCTGGACCTCTTCTCCTGGGGTCTCAGCTTAACCATTCCTTCCTTCAGGAAGTCTTGTCTGACCTCCCCAGAAAAGTTAGATCCACCAGTTACATGCTCTCATTGCACTTTGCACTTCTCCACGGAAATACTATATTTATTATTAACCACTACGTCAAACATTAATTATTGACTTTCTTGACAGACTGCAAACTCCACGAGTACTAGATAATATTTTTCATATTTAGCACTGGATCCCTAGTCCCTAGCACTCTTAATAAATATTTGTGGAAGGGGGAAAGAAGATGGAAGGAAGGAAAGGAGGAAGAAAGGAAGGAAGGAACAAAGGAATGAATGAACCAATGAGTAAACACTTGTGTCACCAAAAAAGGGGATCAAAACCTCAATGAAAAGCTTCTCTAAGAGAGGAAGACAAGAGGAGAGAATGAAGGTGCTGGAATATACATCAGATCCTCCCATCATCTCCTCAGGCAAGGAATCTGGCTACGCAGGCAAGCCACCAAGGAGTGATAACATCTTTGAGAGTTAACATCTAATGAGCCTGCCCAGCTCACTGAAGCCATTTAAATTAGTATACTGTGTCCTTTATCATTTGTCTCTTCTTCCTTCTTAATCTCCTGGATCATGGGTAATTTCCTCCTATATGAATAGCTTAGACAGTTAGTTACCTGTTCAGGAAGCTGTACATAGGGCAGTTTGTGTTTTGAATTTTACATGAGAGAAACTGTCCAAAAGTAAGCACAGCTTAACAAGGTAACAGACTTTGAGGAAATCACTTTGCCTCTTTGAGTCTTCAAAGGGACTGATTGCCCTTATTAAAATAAAACAAAAAAGTCTTCTGAGCTTTGAACAAAAGTCTCCAGATAATGGTCTGCATGAGAGACAGGAAGGTCAGCACAGGAGGCCCCCACTTCCTGGCATGGAGTTCTTGTCTGCTACTTTGAGGTGTTTGGTTACCTCACTGTAACCAGCCCACGGTACAGTGATTCTCCTTTAAAACTGAGCCCATTCATAGACTAGAAGGCTCTTCTTCCCCTGTGTCCAACTTAGCAAAGCTGAGACAGGATGACTTTGAAAGATAACAAAACAAGAACAAAACTCTTACTCCAGACCTTGAAAAGCATGAAAAAAAATCAAAATTATCTAATTTTTGACTCAGGCTTTTGATGCTAAGTATACTAGGAAAAGCTACACTGAGGGTAAGCCCCCCTCTGCCCTTCACAGGGTAGCAGTCTTATATAAGTTCATGGAAAATCTATCACGTATTAGATACCTAAACTGTACAATAATTATAATATGCTTCCAGGGGATGAGCACCATACAGCAGAAGGGGCACCTCTGCTGGTCTCAGTTCCCTCCTTTCAATATCAGAGCTACAAGAGGCAAATAACATCTTGGATCTCATGAATGAGCAAGTTCCCCAAATTGTCTTTATTTTAAGCATGGACCTGTATGCGGCAAACATTTTGGCAATAGTCATAACATATCTGTATTTACACGTACGTTTGTTTACAAATAATTGCATTTGTTTACACTTTCAGTTCACTCATAAATGAAATGAAATGTCTCCCCACAAAATGTCTCTCCTCATAGCTCACTCAACCCAGGACTTCTGAGTCTAAAAATCAAACATGTAGACACAACATTTTGGATTCTAAAAATTAATACAAAATGCGTATTATTCATATTAGCAGTAGTTGTAGTACCATTATTATTGTTAAACTTTTTTTTCTGTCCGGTTGGCAATCTTGTTTTGGTCTGTTTTTCTTGGAATCAGAGCCCTCTGATTACCATTTTACCTTTTCTACCACATTCTCCTGTTCTCAAGAAAGCCGGTTGGGGTCGGGGGTGATTGGGCGTGGGTTGCACAAGTGCCACTTGGGCAATATTTCAAAGAATCCACAACTGCCTACCAAATGTACAGTACAGAGCCCCACGATGTTTTCTCCTAAGATATCAACGGTCAACATTCACATCCAGGTCAGCTGGGCATACACTGATACTGACTAAGACCATTTTTGTCAATGTCTGATTGTCAGTCTTCTTGCAAAGAGGTGGTGTCTCCACCAAATTCTCCATGAGACACGTGTGAGCATCACTACTCTTTTCTCATGATTGAGCCCTCAGATTGATAGTACTGTACTTAACTTCTTGGTCTGCAAGAATCTCAACAACCAGGAATGAAAAAGTGAACAAGTGTTGGTCCCTCTCCCAACCTGGCTGTATACAGGTATCCCAAACACAAGTGGGGCTGATTCCTTGATGTCCTGGCAGGGAACAGGGGTTATGGGAAACCTCCTCTGTTTCAGGCATTGTTCCCTGAAAGAGCTGGTGCTTAGCAAATGCCTATGGAACAAATTAACCTCATTGAAATGTTCAGTTTTCCAGAGCTCATGGAGATGCTGCTTTAGCTTAGACATAACACACTGGTGTGTGTGTGTGTGTGTGTGTATGTAGACAGGGGGTCATTTAAGGCCAGAGTGCAAGAAACACCCCATATCTCCTCGCAGCAAGTGCACACACAATCATTCCTGCCAACCAAGATGCCGCCTCATTATCTGGTTTCCCCTTAGAAAATAACAAGACAGAGGAAGCAAACCCACTGTTAGAAACTCTATTTTGTTTGACTTGCCACATCCTTCCCTCAATGGAGAGGGACATACACTGGAACAGGACACACCAGGAAATGAGAAGTGTGGGTTGGGGAAAGAAATTCTGGGAACGAACAGAGTAGCTTACCGGCCAGACAGCAGCAGGGACAGGCGGTTGATGGGCGTCTCCCCCTCCACAGCGTAGGTCTGCTCGGTGGCCAGAGTGAAGACCTGCTCCTCGCAGCAGTTAACAATCTCCTTGTACGTCTGCAGGGGCACCTGCAGAGGCAGGTACAGCGTCTTGTAGAGGAGGCTGAACTCCTCAGGGAAAGTGTCCTCGCGCAGCCGGTATACCAGGTGTGCCAGCTGGAGCAGGCAGGCCACTGCCAGCAGGAAGCTCCAAAGGACAATGTCCAGGCCACAGGCATTGAACCAGCCCCACAGCACACAGCACAGGTAGCCTGTGCCCAAGAAGCCAAAAAGGAAGAAGCATCCATATACCCCACTGCCCCCCATGAAGCCCAGGAGCAAGATGCAGTTGGCTAGGTGGTACATAGCCCCTTCCATATCCTGCTTCCAGCTAATGCACACTGGCCCCCTAATGCTGTTGGCGCTCATCTTTGGGATGTCTCAAAGCCTTGCTGGGCTCTAATACTGTCCCCGCATAAGAAACTCAGAGAAGGAATGAATCCGTCCTTCCAGGTGTCTTCTCACCTCCAGCTCCACTTTTCCTGGGAGGAATGCTTCTGGTGGCTTTGGGAATGAATGGCAGAACATAGTACAATTCATGAAGAATTTAAAAACTTTTCTCTTTCTCTCTCTCTTCCTTCAGCAAGGCTCGGGCTCTCCCTGCAGAGCTCTGGCAAGCTTCCTTAGCTCCAGGTTTCTTAGGACAGTCTTCAAATTTGATTCTTAGCAGAAAAATCTGTATTGTCCCAAGGGAAAGGTAAGATTATGGGACTGAAAACTTGAGCAGTGTGAGATGAAGCGGCCACATCCTGCTCTCTGTTGTTCCCAAGCAGACTGAGGAGAGCCCAGCATGGGAGGCACACTTGTGTTCCATTTGGAATGTGTTCCCTCTTGGCACCGGAAGAAAGGGTGACCCCAGACGGATACCATGTTTGGAATTGGAATCTAAGAGGTACTGGCAGTGAGAAAAAACAGGCCAGGCAAACAGGCCGGCTGGCAGAGCACTTAACATACCTACCAGGGGACAAGATAAGACATCAGAGCAAGGGAGACAGGCAAGGAGGGACAAAGGAAAAGTGAGCATAGAATTTCCCTCAATACCTCAGGCAGGACACTGTCCAGAGCTCCCTGTAGGCTCCCGAGATAGGAGGACATGTCAAAGTAGCAAATATGGGACTATTAGCAGGAAAAATCCTAATGGTGAAAACTGGAAAACCCCTTGAAAGCCTTTATTAAGTCACACTGTAAATATCATTAGGCATTTATTTTACATCCATTTAACAGAAGTAGCTATGTAGAGCAGCTTTTTGAGTTCTAAGCTGACTTTCCCCCGAATATATCTGGATCTAGTAATAGTTAATAAATGGCAATACGTTGCCCAGATCATTACCCCACACACCCCAATATTTCCAAATTATAATTACTACCTGTTAAACACCCATGAAGTGCCAGACCTGGATTAGGAATTTTACATACTTATATTAGGTCATTAAATATGAAATGTCAGATTTTGAATCAAAAGTGTAGTTTATTATATCTCAAACAAGAAACAGTACAATTAATCAAAGTATGCACCTAAACTATCAACACAGTTTTGCCATCCTAACAGTAGCTTGTTTATGCCAACAGTGAGGAAGCCTGGAGAGTGAATGGCGTTCACTCTCCAGGCGTTCACAAAGGCGTTTTCCACAGCTTGTTGAGAATTGAATATTTTTCCTTGCAAGAAGTGGTCCAAAGCCTGAAAGAAGTGCTAGTCAGTTGGTGCAAGGTTTGGTGAATACGGTGGATGACAGAGAGTTTCCAAGTCCAGCTTCTATAATCTGAGCAGCTTTGTTTGTGTGACATGTGGTCCAGTGTTGTCTTGCAGGAGGATTGGCTTGTCTCTATTGACCAATCTAGGCTGCTTAATCACAAGCATCCTCATCATTTCATCCAATTGGTTGCAGTAGACAACTGCTGTAATCAGCTGACCAGGTTTCATGAAGCTGTAATGGATAATACCAGCACTGAACCACCAGACAGACACCATTAGATTTTTTTTTTTTTTTTTTTTT